GCGAACTTCATTTTTGTGTTTCTACTTTCATAATAAGGATATCGCAAGTACAAAAAAATCATTTTCCAAAGATTATTGCCTGAAATTTATTTCTTTACATTCAAAAAAAAACTGCGAAAACGGGAAAAATCTATCGATTTCACTTCGATTTATAGAGTCAAATTAAAAGGAAAAGAACAAAGAAAATAATCTACACGCAATAAAAATCGCGTAAACCAGTAAAATTGTTAATAAAATTGTTACTGTAAGACTACTGGAGTGCGCAAATGATTTCTTTTTCGTCCCACGAAAATAATTTTCTTACACTGGTATCAACAAAAGTATGACGCGATTAATGAAAAGTTCGTAGTACTTTGCGAACCCTGGCCGAATCCCATGGTTCCGTGGTTACAATTGATATATGATATATTGATTGATATATATCATGATTGAACAATTCAGCAAATTTTGATTGGGCGTATTCCAGTACGAAGCGAACAAAATCATTGGATAGCTACTACGCAATGAACTTTTTTTTTCTGCCCAGCGGGAGCAAAGTACACACTTCCCTCCGGCGGCGCGAGAGGGCATTCTGACGCTGCTGCTACACTGGGGACAAAAATTATGTTTTCACCACGGAAGGGAAAATAACCCGAGAGGAAATTTTGGTCAAGTTCTAGTCAAGACTGGATCAGGTCATACTTGATGATTGATCCGGAAGTGACACGGCCCGTGCCGGATTTGCCGACTGAACAGACGCGGCCAATATTCGGGCTACTATAGGTTTACCAAATCTCGGTTTACGCAGTTTCGGCCAATGCTGTGCCAACCATCGATTACCCGAAAATAAATTCGCCGAAGATTGGACGAGCATGACCTCGCTAATAATCAATATATGAAACTTCGACCAAGGCTCGGGCCGTAATCCATTCACCGACTATCAATATTCAATTTTACAGCCAATAGTTGGCTGATTATTACATGAACAATAATTGGTTTTTTTAATCAGGCCCTATCATAGACTATTGTCGCTCCCCCCAAATATGAGTATGTTTAATCCTCGGAATTGGCAGAGTTTAATTCGGAATTGACAGAATTTTTTAATGAAGAGTATGTCATCGAGGACATGATAATCTATAAAATTCTATTTATGCCATCGGTGCCCGTAATCACGCGATTCTAACCTCGCTTCGCTCGGTTAAATCGCGGATTCCGGGCGGGATGGCATAAAATTTTGTATGAAACGCGTGCGTAATATATTTTTCGACTCGTGGGATTGTAAAACTCGCCTTCGGCTCGTGTTACAAACCTCCCACGAGTAAAAAAATATATTACGCACGTGTTGCATAATATACTATTTATCGACTGGTGTCATCATTGCTGAGTATTAGTTCCACACCAGATGTTCAGAGTTGTGATGACAGTTAGTTTTGAGTTAATAGAGTTACTGTATTTTTTGGCAGAATTTTCGTGTTTTTATGTTCGCTTTAGTATAGGACCACTGTGTTTTGTGACATGACTTCAAAACGATATTTACGAGTGAAAAAGTGCCGGTATTTGAAGAATAAGACAATCGAGGAATCTGCCGACAATTTTTTAGAAGAATGCGTAGATGGAAGAGGTACTGAAGAGCCCATTGCTTCTTGCAGCAATGAAATAATTGTTAGCGAAACATCGGCTGGAAACGTGGACGTAAGATTAGAAGTCAGTGAGTCAGGCTCTGAAACACAATCAGAAAATGATTTCAATTGCAGTGATTTGTCTGAACGCCAATCTGCAGACGACAGATTCTAGTGATAATAACAGTGAAGGTGTCCATGACATTGCCTATAGTGCCAATGGTGATGGAATGGAGCAAAAACTACGTGCCTGGGCTATACGTAATTTACCTACGCTAATTCTCAATGTCATTACTGATCTTTTGATGACAATCAGAAGTGAAGGTTATCCAAATTTACCGAGAACAGCACAAACACTGTTGAATACGCCTCATCGTCAGAACTTCAAGGAAATGTACAGTGCCAGTGGTACGATAGGTGAATTCCAGTATCTTGGAATTGAGCACGGTGTACAAAAAATAATTTCTCCTCGTATATATACCGATACTGAGATTGCAGTTTTCATTCACATTGATGGGATGCAGATTTATCGAAGTTCGAAAATTAACGTTTGGCCAATTTTTATAAAAATTCATCACGAAGATTACATTTGCAAACCTTTCGTAGCTGGGATCTATTGTGGAGAATCAAAATGGAATGGAGAATCTTCCATTATTTGGAAGATTTTATTGCTGAAGTTAAATACTTGAGTGAAAATGGAATTCATATTGTAGGAAGACATTTCACTTTCAAAATTATAGGAATCCTCGCGGATTCTCCGGCGAGGTCTTTTATCAAATGTTGTAAGGGGGCCGGAGGTTTTTATGCTTGTGAAAGATGCACTATTGAAGGTGTAACAATTGGAGAAACGAGACGCCAAACTCGAGTATATCCCGAAATTAATTGTTCATTGCGCTCAAAGGAGTCATTTTCTGCCCAAAGACAACCCCAACATCACCATGGAGAAAGTCCACTGCTGAATATTAATAACTTCGATCCTGTCACTGACGTTCCAATTGAGTCTATGCATCTCCTTTATTTAGGAGTCATGAAATGGCTACTGGAAAAATGGATTTCAAGAGGAAGTCCTCAACGCATCAAACCAAAAAAACTGAAAGAACTCCAATTAATATTAAATAAAATATCAGTTGATGTTCCTTGTGAATTCCAACGTAAAAAATTTGATATTTACACCTGTTCAAGATGGAAAGCAACGCAGTACCGTTTCTTTTTACATTACTTGGGACCCATTGCCTTGGAAAACATTCTTCATAAAAATTATTACAATCATTTCCTGCTTTTATTCGTTGCAGCTCGCATTCTCAATAACAAGGAGTTAATTAAATCACATGTTGATTATGCAGACCATTTGCTTAGAACATTTTTCAATTTACTGCCATCCTTATACGGTCCGCGACCTCAAGTTTTGAGCCTGCATAATTTGATTCACTTTGCAGACGATGTGAGGAATTTCAATCTTCCACTCAGTGAAATAAGTGCTTTTTGGGAAGAGAACTATACAGGCATATTTAAAAAGTTGACAAAATCGACAAACAAACCTTTGACACAAATTATCAATAGGTTATCGGAGATGGAATCTGGTACGATGATGGAAGTAAAAAAATGTCAAGTATTGAGTGATATAATAGTTGCCAAGAATGCTGAGCTCTATGATTATGATAATGAGCATTTTCAGTGCATTTCCCAGCTGAAGTTCTGTGGTTCAACTCTAAAATTACATCATCTTGATAATTGTGTGCAGTTGAAGAATGGAAAAATATTCACTGTAAAAAAAATTCTAATGAAATGTGAAATAAAGGCCAAGACCAAAAAAATTGTTCTCCTCGGGCATGCAGCCATTTCAGAAGATTCACTATTTTCTTACCCGACTTTGTCTACTGATATTGGTCTCACCAAAGTAGAACATTTTTTGGATTCACCTCAGTTGATTTCTATATCCGAAATTATGTATAAGAGTGTTTTATTTCGGGTACAACGTCAGTGTTCAGTTTCCTATTTACACACTTATAATTGATTTGAACAATGGAACCCGATTCTCAGTGAAATTATTTCTATTATTTATTCTATTATTATTTTCTATTTAACGAAAAACATACTTTCTTTTGAATTGACTGTTATTTGTAAGACGGATGTGCTGGCGAATGCAGGAGCAAGTAATCAGGTAAGTGTCTTTAAATGATCAATCGTCTTTCTTATTCAAGTATTTTATTAATTCAACCACGCGGAGAAAGGAAAAATGATACATTTTTTTTGTTCAAAATTATGGAATATAAGTTTTTTTCAATTTTCATTCAATTATGTAATTAGGTGCTTGTATCCTAGTAGTTTTTATCTCGAGAGAATTTTTTTATTAACTAGCCGGCCGGCGTGAGTATAGCGCGTGAAAAAGAAATATGAATGAGTGATTTTCTCAAAGTAATGAATAGCACGTGCACACTCAAATAGAGACAGACAAATACAGGGGAATCGGGGTTCACTTTAAGGTTGAATAAATAATATGGATACAACCTTATTTCTATATTAGTTTCTTCAAATACTGTACTCTACTGGTCTGTTTCTTGGAATTGTGGCCTGCAATTTTCTTAGTATAAACAGACGGAACAGGAGAGAGCGAAAGACGCTAACGCCTCAGTCCAGTAATGCGTCAACGGTTGGATCAAAACGTCCTTCTTGTTTACTTTGATCTTAATAGGACAATTATTCACTATTTTGCGTCAAAACTACTTCAATTGTCGTAGTGAGTGTTAAAGTGCTAAATGTAACGAAAAACCCTGATTTTTTTTGAAAAAATTGAAAGAATATAATTGTAAGTTACATGGTGAGGTTAAGGAACACGAGAATAGCGTCATTATTTTCATTCAATAATTTCTGAAACATATATACCACACTTTCTCGCTCTTTTTTCTATGTAATATGTTCGCGTTATTTTCATCGTCTTTTTGTGCCTCACTTGGCCTCTCGTAGAAAACAATTAAAGAATTTTCTGTTTTATTCACTTAATCCTAATATCACTGAACCCTATTATAGTTGTTCTAATGATTATTTTTTCTCTCGCAGTTATGGTGATATTGAAACAATTTCGGGATCATGTCATCGCAAGAAGTTTTGTTGCCCAAGAAATATGCAATTGTGGAGTTCATTTCCGACCATTTGAATCCTAAAGAATTACTACCAATAGATGCAGTCCTTGGACAATGGATGACGTACTAATCTGAAAATGTGTGGAAATGTGCATATCCATCTCCCGAAAATTATGAATATCTGGATAAGTGGATTAAACAAGAGACACCAGCAGATTCTTCATGGAGAACATTTGACGTCCTCGTACTTGCTTAGGCTAATGATTACGATCAGGTTAGACGTCGCCTGGAACGAGCCTACACCAAGAGGAACGTGGCAAGTTCTGACAATCAGCAGCATCAACGAAACGAGCCAGTCATTTTTTCTGAAAAAAAAATTCATCAGATCCCTCGTGAGAACATACCAATGGTTCGTCAAACGCCAAAACTCACAAGCCAAAATCTCATTGATCTGCCACTGGATATTAGGCGATCAACCAGGGGATCTTCCTCAAAATCAGCGAAAAAAGTAACAAAAACGACCAACCCAAAAGTTATCCCTGAGAGTTCAAGCTCATCATCCTGTCCTTCGACTCCGAAGACTCGTCCATCAAATCAAGTGACCGACTCCTCATCATCAATGACTCCCTCTCTATCAAAAAGACTTCCAAAACGTAAACCTAAAACAACTCGAGTAATACTCTCAGACGATTCTGATGAAGCCCAGGATCAGCTTCTAAAATCGTCACATTGTCATGGGGGAGAAAAGTTCAACAATTTGGATAAAATTAAAACCACGGATATCGAACGTGGGCTAACTTGTGAGACATGACATTTTGCAATAATTAATACCTGTAGCTGATTTAGTTAAAGATATCGACGTGTATGTAAGTACTTCTTAGATTTTTTTTTAGATGAATTGAAAGAATTTGTCAAAGCACAATTGGGAGAAATTAAGATTGAACTTTCAAAGAAAATCACATCTGCTAAGGTGAGCATATTATACAACTTGGACCAAAAAATGAACGAGCTAAAGCTTACAGTACTGGCACAAAATATTCCACAAGCGCCACAAGTTTCCCTCCATCAATTAATGACGGCTGTGGACACCAAATTACCAATTGAAACGCTGGATGACTTTTTACAGTTTGAGGAGCAACTAAAAAATGATGACAAGAAGAAATTCGCTTTGGTGATTGATTGTTTCTTCTTTTTTTCATGTCAGAATAAATTCACAGTTTTGATGATCATCATCATCTCAACATTTATTGATTTCAGACGGCGTTATTCAACTGCCTATGTTTTACTCACCCAACAGTGAAAGCATGTATCAATCACGTTTTGCCTCAAATTATGAAAAAAGCAGTACAGTCTCAGTATTCAGGAATCGGCAGGAAGGTCAAAGGTCATGGAAAACTTGATTTCAGCGCCACGTCCACATTCGATTGCTTTCAAGGTACTTGTTCCTTGTTTTTTTATCATTTACAGAATTGATTCAATTGACCAAGAAATTAATATAAATAATAAAATGTGAGATATTTTGTCGACAATGAGTATTGAAATGATGATGAAAAGATATTTTTATAAATTTACTAATTTAGTGGTGGTTTCATATTTCAGATCCTATTAGTAGCAAGTTCAAAAACCCGAATGAAGTTGGAAAATTATCGAAGCAAGTTGGTAATTGGCTGGTACACTTTGGTGATCGAGAGGGAGGTCGCGCTGATCGTTCAAATATGAATGCATAATGCAACATGCATAACAACATCCTATTCAATAGGTTCTATTAGTTGTGAGGTGATTCAAGGTATAAATGAACACATTTGATAGCTATTCAATAATTGCATTTGTCTACTTATGCCTACATGCCTCGCATAGAAAATATCGTTAACTGATTCATTATTTTATAGATTCATGTATTACAGTAATATTGGAGATTCTTATCCAGAAATTTAAAAACAAACTTTCATATCGTTGAGGTTGAAAAATTATTTACTCATTATTAATATAATAAAAAGTTTTCTGGGTTTTGTTATGATCTATTCTAAGGCATAACTCTCTTGCATAATATTGCATACACAAAAATAAGAAGAAACAAAATTGATCCCTAATATTTGAGCAGAGAATAAATTAAATACTTAGTATTGAGAAGACAATATGATGAGTGTAATAATTGTTTACATCAAATTTCTCAGTTGGTCATAAATGCAAAACGTAAGAGACATACTTTTACATATTGTTGAACTATCGTTTTCAAGTTATATTATTAAAAATAAGAATCATTCGTAAAAAGCAGCTAAGTTGCTGCAGTTTTTGAGAGTAATTTGTTTGGTATTTGTTCATACACCATGTATATGAAAAATTTAGGTTTGTTTCATGGATCATTATAGTAATAAAAAAATGAAAATGAAATAATAATTTTGGATGTATTTTTATTTGAGTAACAATTGACGAATTCCTATTCCAAAAATGAGGACCAAGATTGGGCCTAATTTGCAATCAATAATTGGCCGAATTTATTATCGGAGGTTGACACGAGAATTAGCCCAACATCGAGTACGATCTTGCAAAGTGTCGGTTGCCAACGTAGGACACACGTCGGCCAGATATATAATTCGAAATAGGGCCTATATTCGGATAATATATTGGGCTTATGATCGGCGGGGATCTCGGCCCGGAGTTATCATCCAAGGTTCGGTTGAGCATTGGGCGGAACTCGCTTTCGACCATCGGTATCATCGGGCGCGAGCTTGGACCGATTTTCGGACCTATCTGATCGCCCTGCATGGGGGTAACTGGATCAAGTTTTGATCAGACATGTAACGCAAATTTAAATCAAGACGTGATCAAACTTTTCTGATCCACTTTAACGGTTCCGGATTTGATCAAGTCAAATGTATCTAAATCGGATGACTGGAATATCGAAAACAATAATAAATATGAACCATAACTCACTTAAAACAAAAGATAATTAATTTTTTTTATTATATCTGACCACTCTTAATGAAGCCCGATTGTAATTAGCGATGAAAAAACCCTATTATTTTTGATGATGCTGGGGATCGAACCGAGGAACCTACGATTACTAAACCTACGCCCTAACCACTGGACTACCGCACTATTGTTTTTGAGTAGATTCTTGTTACCTACACCATCTGCAAGGGAGTATTTGATGACTTTGAAATTATTGCATGTACATTCTGAGCGAGAAAACATATTCGGTTCAAATTTTATTTCATTATTAAAAGATAATTATAATAATCATAACACAATGAACAGATGCAAGTTTGATGATTTCTTTAGACTCAAGATAATGCGCTCTTATGTTTGATGCTATACTATATATATTTTCCTTGCTTCCAATACATTTGAATAAAGATGTTTCGTCAATAGATTAACAATTGCTAGAAAAAAGAGGATTCTCAGAAAAGGGTACATCAAATGAATATCAGATGAATCGGATCTGAACTTTGTGATTCTTTTTTATCGAGCTATTCAATTGAAAATCAAGTGAATTGAATCGGAAGGAGAACAAATTGTGTTGAGGCAGCTTGATCTCAAAGTGAGATTATGTTTATTTGACTTGCTGGGTCAAAACTGGGTCAGGACTTCATCAAGTGTCATCTGATCAGGCATGTTTGACCAGAACTTGATGTAAAGCCACATGTAGTTTATAGGGTCCAATATACTGGCTCGAAACTTGATCAAGTTTTCATCAGGTGTCATCTGATCAGGCCTGCTTGATCAGAATTTGATCTAAATTCGCTTGAAGTTTTTAGGATCGGAAACGTTGGATCAAACCTTGGTCAGGTTCTGATCAGATCTTACCTGATCAAGCGAACCGCACTGAAAGTGAATCAAGTTCTGATCGGACTTCAAGTAGACCTGAACTAATTTCCACTCGGGAAAGAGGGCTTGCCCACGTGCAGAATTACCGCCCGAGCCGAAGGCGAGCACGGGTAAGCACGTGGGTAAGCCTTCTTTACGTTACCTCCCTAGGTGAGATCACACCGGAAGCTAGAGTTTACTATTTTTATGTGTATTTCAGTCGCCGTTACCAATGCCCGGCTTAACTCAATGCGTATGTGCATAATTTATTTACGAAAAAATAATTTTTTTCAAAAATATCTGGTTGGAATATGAATTATTAATATGGTCTTGTTATTACGAAGACTGTGTATAAATAATTCATGAATCCGTTCTTACTAAGAACAAGCGATAGGTTATCGAACTAACCTCTATCTCTAACAACGATGTCCGTCAAATCAGCAAGTTGTGTTTAACGTGCTGATGGGGTAAAAACTAAAATTAATCATTTTCAATCCATCAAAATTAAATGAATAATTCAAAAGCTGATATGGGGTACCTACATACATGAGATATAGATATTCAATGGCAAATGACGGAGGAAGAACAATCTAGTTTTATCATTAAATGTGAAGAAGTAGCCTTACATATATTTTATGTTTACCACTCCGCCTCACGGCCTGAAAATATTAATATTCACTATCCAGTATGATCTTGAGACTCAGAAAACCAAATAACTACTCTCAATGCAATCGGAGGGATCTACACGGAGAGAAAAATACTGGAAAAAATACGTAAAAAGTTCCGTAAAAATTCATGTGTGAAAGGTAAACGTGGGGCTAAATGTAAAATCGGAAAAAGTGCCTATCATTCAGAACATTTTACCACTCGGTCGGTAAAAAGTTATCTTTGGAGGTAGAAAAATAACGATACTCAGTTCCGTAAATTTTGCCGGGACTGGAAAGTACGATTCTAACCTCGCTTCGCTCGGTTAGATCGCCGTTTCCAGTCCCTATGAGAATCAAATATTGTCTGCCTCACGGAAATAGAGTATTTTCTGACTCATGTGATTATACTCACATTTCGTCAGAAAATACTTTACTCCGTAGGGGCACAATATACTAATTATCCTTCCGACAATAGTAATTTGCCGGGTGGCGTGATCCGAACTTAAACAATGATGCGCGATCGGGTGTGACCAACAGTCGTACCACCAACGCTGTCTAAGAATTTTTCAATTCGGTCACGTACAAATTACGGTATGTCACGTAAAATTCAAATGAAACTGAATAATTTTTACTTTACTCGAAATAATTTTAACCGGAACTGTGGTAAATTTTACAAGTTCGTAGGAAATTACGTGACAGTCACGTACATTTTCCAGAGCAAATAATAGAATTCACTGTTCGTCTCTCATTTTTTCCCGAATTCTCCACTAAAAATCAAGGAAATTACACTCCAGCCCACGATTACGTGATTAGTCACGTAATTTTTCCTGGGTTGTTCTCTCCGTGTACCTCTGCTATTTCACGTAACTTTTTTATACTCTCTATGAATTATAATATTCGACTTCGAGAAATATTTATCAATGATATGATATGGTTTACTCACAAAGAAAAATAATAGAACAAAATACACGGAGTTCGGGGAATTTAGAGCGTTCTCTAAATCACCACGCGTTCACTCAATGGGAATTGCTAACATCCGATTTCGTAATTTTACAGAAACCAGATTTATTATATTTATCATTTACATTTATTATAATTATGCGAAATATTCTTACTACTTTTTTCCCCGTAATGTCCTCTAGCCTCTAGGCTAATTAATGTGTCATTTTTACTGAAGATCGCTAAGATAATCGCGAGTGAAACTTATTTGATTTTAATTCCCCTAATTTTCTCAAAAATGACGAAAACGGCGAGGCTGGGGCCGCCAGCAATGATGGGAGGTTTCCAGGATTCTCTCCTCACTCGCTTGGACAAATCGTTATTTTAATACGAAAAAAATATATTCGAATATGTCTTTTAATCCTCCCTTAAGAGATTCATATGAGTTTATATGATTCATATGATTCATATGAGTTTATGTCATCGCGGCCGGTAAAACGCGTTTCTAACCTCGCTTCACTCGGATAAAAACGCGTTTTCGGCCACAATGACATAAAATAGCGTCATAGCCACGGCGGAAAAAGTGATTCTGACTCATGCGCGTTATAATCCTCGTCTCCGACTCGGACTATAAAGTCGAATTCGTCAGATTCCCTTTTTCCGTCCTAGGCGTGAAATATACTATTATATGATTCATATGATTCATATGAGTTTTTCCCACAATATTCGTCAAATATGGAGCTTTGCCACTGTCTAATTAACAATATACTTTCAGTGGAAAACTTCTCTTAACAATTCAACTGTGCTTTCTTGATGTCAGTGGATAATTTTGGAGTGGGACAAATAATCAGACGATCTCAGTTTAAAGTCGACACCATAATAAGGTAGAGTTTTAATGGTTACAATAAGTTGGTAAAAGTATTAAGGCGTATTTACATATCATATTAAATATCAGAATCAATCGCGTCATGTCAATTACAAAGTATACTAAACTACCAATACCCTCACATAATTGGCATTCTATAGGGTAAATTTCACGTCCTTCTCAAATTTCTTTGGTTTTTTGTTTTGCTTCAAAGATTGCAATAAAATGATCCTCAACAATGGGACAATACTCCTAATTTTTTTCACGACAAAATATTACTTCCTCTCTAGGAAGAGCTTTCGTCAAAATGTCTGCAATCATTTTTTCTGTCGAAATGTAACTTATTTTAATGATTTTTTCTTCAATTTTTTCTCTTAAGAAATGATGTCTCACATCAATGTGTTTCGTTCTAGGCCTATAATGCGATGTTTCAGCCAAAGCAATGGCTCCCTTGTTATCACTATGTATGATGGTTGGTTCGTTCAACATTTCGGGATCTAGGTCTCTCATCAACAACCTCAGCCATGTAGCCTCTTGACAAGCACTAGACAGTGCCATGTATTCGGCTTCAGCAGTTGACAACGCGACTGTCGGTTGACGGCGACTTGCCCAAGAAATGGCTGCTCCCTGCATGACGAAGGCGTACCCTGTAACAGATCTTCGATCTATGATATTATTAGCCATATCCGCATCACTATAACCTGTAATAGTATCTGCCCCTTTGCAGAGTCTCAGACGATAATCAATTGTACCTTTCAGATATCTAAAAACCCTTTTGATGGCTTTCCAGTGTATGCTACGTGGCAATTGATTATATTTACTGAGCACACTCATCGTGTGAGCTATGTCAGGTCTTGTGGCTTGGCTTAAATACAATAAAGCCCCCACAGCTTCCTGGTAGGGTACTCTGCTCATGTCTAATGATGTTTTTTCATTTTCTTCAACCTGCAGGTCCAAATTTTGATTGATATCTAAAGGTGTTGATACAGGATTGCAGTCCTCCATGTTGAAACGTTCTAATAACTCCTTAATATATGCTCCCTGGTCGATACAGATTTTTCCTCTTTTAAAATCTCGAGTTATTCTCAGTCCAAGAATGTGATTCACTTCACCAAAATCTTTCGTCTTGAAATAACTGTTGAAGGTCCTTTTTAGAAGTTTTTTTAAACTCTCATCAGCTGATACGAATAAAATATCGTCAACATAGACTGCAATGATACAGATATTATTTTTGTGATATTTAAAGTAAATGCATTGATCGGCTGCAGTTTGTTTAAAATTCAAGTCAATAAGAATTTTGTTCAGTTTCTTGTTCCATGATCTACCACTTTGTTTAAGACCATAAATAGCCTTTTTTAATCTCCAAACTTTATTTTTATCCTGTTTGTCAAGCATATAGGCAGCAGTCGATTCCTGCCTGTTGCCTATAACCTCTCACAACGAGTCTAGCTTTATATCTCTCAATTTCCCCTGATGAATTTTTTTTAGTTCTAAACACCCATTTTGTATCTAACAATTTTTTTTCATTCATCATGGCCTTAAGCCGTTTTTCCTTCTCAGGACTGTTTAAAGCTTCTTCAAGAGTTTCAGGGTCTGAAGAATGTTTATCATAAGATAAATAAGTAATAAAATCTTCTCTTACAATGGGTTTCGGTGGTCGAGATGATCTTCGAAGTGGTATCTCTCCCTCCTCAACTCGAACTTCTGGAACGTGTTTCAAATCTTCATCTTCCTCAGCTAGTTGGTAAACGTCATTATCGCTATCTCCACGTACAGAATCTGAATCAATACATAGACTTTCATTAATAATTTCATTTTTATCGTCCAAATTTGATTCTTCTATTTGAAAAAATGAGAGTTGCTTTTCCTGACTGTAATTCTTCGAAGTAAATTCAATTTTTGGTGTTTCTTTGAAAATCACATCACGACTTTTTTCGATTTTTCTAGTTAATGGATGAACAAGTCTGTACGCCTTGGAATTTTCACAATAGCCAACAAATATTAATTCTTCTGACTTTTCATCCCATTTTCGTCTCTTTTCTTTTGGAATAAAAACCAAGGCCTTACATCCGAACACTTTTAAATGGAATAAGTTTGGTTTTTTTCCAGTCCACATTTCAAAAGGTGTTTTATTTTCTAATGCTTTAGTGAATGAACGATTCAGAAGATATGCAGCTGTAGAACATGCCTCAGCCCAATATTTCTTATCTAAGTTCGAATCTGCAAGCATACATCGAGCCTTTTCAACAATGCTTCGATTATATCGCTCAGCGACACCATTTTGCTGTGGATTATATGGGACGGTTGTTTGATGCTTTATGCCAAGATTTTTTAAATATTCTTGCAAGTTATGATTGATAAACTCTGTTCCGTTATCTGTCCTCAGAGTTTTTACTTTTTCTCCAGTCTGTCTTTCGTAACAATTTATAAATTCTTTTAAATTTTTTGTAACTTGATTTTTCTGTTCCAAAAAATAAATAAAAGTATGTCGTGTGTAGTCATCAACAATTAATAAAAAATGTCTGGCTCCACCGATAGACTTACATTCCATAGGACCGCATACATCAGCGTGTATCAACTGTAATACTTTCTTCGAACGTCTCAAACTTGGGTGAAAAGGTTCACGATGCTGTTTTCCTTTTGCACAAGAATCACAAGGGTTTACCTTCGATGATTCGACGTATTTCACTCCAGTTGCTAAAACGTCCTTCAGTAGTTTCATATAACTCGAATTCATGTGTCCTAGTCTTCGGTGCCATAATGTTTTATCATCAGACTGAGAAATGTGGTATATTAATTTTCTGTCGACTTCTAATTTGTAAATTCCACATGATTCTTTGGCAATAGCTATCAGTTGATTGCTTGTATTATTAATCTGGCATAAATTGTTATCAAAAATTACATTTAAACCATTTTTAGTAATTTTACTTACTGATAACAAATTTGTTGCTGCTTTAGGAACGTAAAGAACGTCTTTCACCAATAAATGCACTACATTTCCATTTGTAGACACTGGAATTTCGATGTCGCCAACTCCCTCAGCATGCAAAATTGATTCGTCAGCTGTGACGATAACGGCTAGATCCTTTCTTTTAAAATTTTGGAAAAAATTTCTCTCAGGTGAAATATGAGTTGATGCTCCAGAATCAATAATCCAGTCTACATTTGATAAATTTTTAGCAGCACATAATGCAAACATAACTTTTTTGTTGTTAATATTATTATTTGGGTTGTTATTATTGTAATTGTTTTGATTTCTGTTCTCATTTCTATGATTTTTGTGAGATCTATTATTTTCATGTTTTCCATAACGACAATTATTTGTCAAATGACCGACTTTATCACAATTATAACAACGTGGACCAAATTTTCTTCTTGTGTTATGGCCTCTTGAATATAATGCTGATTCATCAGATTTATTATTTGATTTTGGATCTTTAACATCTTGTAAAAATCTAGTTTTTATTGAATCAGCACTAATTCTTATCCCAGAATTTTCTATTGCCATAATCATTGGTTTATAATCTTCTGGTAATCCAGCTAATAATAGTGTACCTAACCAATCCTCTTGTACAGTAAATCCAACTCCACGGAGTTTATGAGCAGTATTGATTACCTTGTTAACATAGTCCTCAACAGAAGAACTTTTTTCTAGCGATGCTGTCGTCAATTCTCTCAGTAATCCAACTTTCCTTGCTAGTCCTGCATCATCAAACGTAGATTGTAAATTTTCCCAGGCTTGTTTTGGTGTGGTAGCCTCTTCTACGTGCACGTAATTGACTGGATCGAGTGACAGTGCAATTTTGGTTCGAGCACGTGTCATTTTTCGTTCATCAGCGATGTAGGACTCAGTACCCTGGATACAACCCCATAAATCCTCCATTTCGAGATACATTTTCATAGCAAATTTCCATGTTGAATAATTATCTCTACCTCGAAGTCGTTCAATATTTTGCAAAAAATCTTTGCTGGAGTTTGGTGTACTCATTTTAATGTGTTAGGTTAGTTTGGATACCAATACCTTCAATTTCCCACAACTCCTATAATTTTCAATTTAATATAGAAATATTTAATTCATTTACCATATAAATTTTTGATAATTGTTTCAACGAAATTTTTAAATTTTTTCGTGCTGACCCATGACCAGATGTCAGTGGATAATTTTGGAGCGGGACAAATAATCAGACGATCTCAGTTTAAAGTCGACACCATAATAAGGTAGAGTTTTAATGGTTATAATAAGTTGGTAAAAGTATTAAGGCGTATTTACATATCATATTAAATATCCGAATCAATCGCGTCATGTCAATTACAAAGTATACTAAACTACCAATATTTCTTCTCTCTCAATTTTCGGGCTCCTTTTATTCTTCGGCTGGAAAACACTTCTTAACTCGCAGGTTGAAACCTATAATTGTCGCTGGATTGAAAGAATCTTCCTATGCTTTCTGAGTTAATATAGGGTCATAATCACCTTGCATGCCCTATCGGGTGAGGTGGGGAAGTTCATCTCATTCTAATCCTTCCAGAGTAACATAACCTCACCTATCCATGCAGTGAGTTCAGGGTTTCTCTTCCCATTCATTGACTAACAGCGAAGGAAAAAGTGGTTAAGGTATGTTCTCCGAGATACTACTTGTAATATATGTGGAGATGGATGAGGGCAGCTAGATAACTTAGAGGGGTGGTAATTTAATAATATCTGCACTTATCAGAGAGCTCTCAAATAAACGTGTACTCACGTAGACGTTACTCAAACTAGTGGCTTAGAGTAGGGTAAAGTCAAAACCCATCTTACATTTAGATGCTAGATGTCTCATCAGTCGTCAATTGTCCAATATATCACATTCCTCCCAACATAATTTACAATGTTCTTACAACAATTTCAGAGTACCAATCATACGTTCAAAAAGTCTCGTTATACACTGCGACGTAATTTTCGGAGGTTCACGAAACCCTCCGTCCATTAGCCCGCCCTCTGGCACCAAAACACCCCAAATTAAAATCAGAAAAATAAGTTAGGCGCCAGGTCAATTTTTAACGGAATGACCGCCGTATCGAAATCCTTCTCCGCTCTCAGCCTCAATTGCTCCAGTAGCTCAACACGTAGAGATTTAGAAAATCGGAAGCTGAAAGGGGATGCAACTGGGATCCTCAGCGATGTCCTCAGATAGAGCGCAGTGGCGCGTAATTTAATTTTTAAAAAATCAAACAAAACGAAATCAGAAACATATTCTTCTCTCTTCTCGTGAACTCTCGCCATTGAAGGTGACTTCCCGTCTGGTGAAAGTCTCTAAAATCGCGAAACGGTCGAGAACCTGTAACTGGTAAAAATACCACGTTACAGCACATACATAACCTTCTATAATTTTTGCCTATAGGAAAGAGTCACTCACAGGTTCAGTCCTTGTACTGGTTTTTTAACTCTTGATGAACGCCGAGGTTCGTGAGTACTTGGCCTATCAGAAAGTTCTGGTAATGTCGTTGCAGGTGAGGACACAGTCACTGGGGCAGACTGAACTTCCATTGGAGTTTCCGACGCTGTTTGGTTGCATACTTCATCGCGATCAACCAAATTTACTCCACTCCCCTCTCGACTTTACTAGAGAGTGAGAATTCTTTGAGGGAATTAGTACTTGGAGTTGGTTTCAAAGGATAGTTATTCGCTAACGACATCTCAGTTGAACCTTCACTGTCAAAAGTAACTAGAGCCGTGAAAGAAGAGTCCTTAATCTCCACGGAATGTTCCGATTTATTTAAAAGCGAACGAAACAATTGATTTACGTGTCTCTTCCAAATATCACCGTAGATGGTCCTCACAGTGCACGTAACAGGTGAAAGCTTTATTAACACCTCAGCCTGGACCCAACTTCCTCTAGCAACGTTCTTAGCCATTACAAAATCTCTTACCTCAAACGACCGATTTCTGGATCCACAAGCATAATGTTGTTGGTTAGCTTGATTTCTAGCCACTTGGTGTCTCAGATTTGGTCTTAGAAGATCCAATTTCCCTCTAAGTGGTCTGCATATATGAAGTTCCGCAGGTGTGTATTCTGTTGTACTATGTAGAGTGGAGGGATAACTAAATAATATTTGCGACACAGCCACCTCTTCATTAACACCCTCCAGCAATAGCAGCTTAAGTTGTCTTTTACATATCTTGATAAGATTCTCAGCTGCGCCGTTAGACGCAGGATGATACGTTGCTCTTCTCACGTGCAGAATTCCACATCCCCTCAGAAAACTCTGAAATTCTTCGGAAACAAGACTAGGTCCATTGTCGCTGATCAAAACAGCAGGATAACCCCACGTAGAGAAATATTCGTTCATTGCTAGAATCGTTTTTTTTTTGTGTAATATCTCTCATCAACTTGACGTCAATCCATTTTGAAAATGAGTCAATAATTACTAAATACATTTTGACCTTACTCTGGAGAAAATCGATGTGTATACGCTGAGTTCGTCCCTCAGGCCATTTCCACACGTTTAGCTCTGTCCTTGGAGGATTAGCAGCATTCTCCACACATAAACGACACTTTTTAGTTATTGTTTCAATGTCTGTGTCAATGCCCGGTCAGTATACAAATGAACGAGCTAACGCTTTCATTCTCACTATTGCACTGTGTGTTATATGCAACTCTCTCAAAATCGTCGATCTCAATTTAACAGGTATTACAACTCTCGTTCCCAGCATCACACACTCATCTTCAATTGACAATTCTCTTCCTTTACGTTTAAACATTTCAAAAACGGATTCTACTTTATCAGGCCAACCCTGCCTTAAGTACTCCTTAACCTTCACTAATATCGGATCTCTCTCCGTTTCTACTCTGATTAATTCAACATCTAACATGGAAGCTTCCGATTCAATCAAATTGAGATAATTAAAAACTTGATTCCCATCTACTTCCTCCTCAAAGAAAATAGGTGCTCTTCATAGACAATCTGACACTACATTATCCTTACCGCTGACATGTTTTAATTTAAAATCATACCCCGATAAAAGTGCTGCCCATCTTTGTACTCTTCCAGCTGCAGTTGATGGTAGGCTTCTACACGGATCGAAAATCCGTCCGTCTCAAGTATGAACTGCTGTCCCCATACGTACTGGTGAAAACTCTTGACTCCAAACACCAACGCAATTGGTTTGCACTGATTGTCTGGCAAAACGTGAGATAAGACAGCACCCACTCCCACTGGAGACGCATTACAAGTTAATTTAAGTGGATATTTAGGATTGTAGTGCGTTAACACTTCCTTCGACGTTAATTTCCCCTTAATATCATCAAAAGCTGTCTGACAGATTTTTGAGCATTTCCAAATCTCTTTTTTCTTAAAAAGATTATAAAGTGGGGTGGCAATTCTCGCATAATTATTGACATATCTGGAATAATAATTTGCCATACCCAAAAATCTTTGTAACTCTGAAATATTTTTGGGAACCTGAATTTCTATGATGGCTTTCACCTTATCTGGGTCAGCAAAAATTCCTTCTCTATTTATTATAAAAACCAAAAATTTGGTTTCCTTTTGAAAAAATTGACTCTTGTCTTCTTTTGCAGTCAAACCTGCGTCTTTTAATTTGTTTAATAGTTCTATTGAAATTTGATCATGTTCAGTTTCATTAGTACCAAAAATTAGCACATCATCGAAAAAACAAATTACCCCTTTCATTCCGAAAAAAAGTTTTTCCATCAATCTCTGGAAAAGCCCCGGTGCCGACGCCACCCCAAAGCATAATCGATTATAAACATAAAGACCCCTATGAGTTGAAATCGTCGTTAAAACTTTTGATTTTTCATCCAACTCAACCTGCTGATATGCGTGACTTAGGTCAATGCGACTATAAACTGTTCCTCCCGAAATTTTGGAAATTAAATCAGTAATCCTTGGAATTGGATGTCGATCAATTTTAATACTGTTATTTATTGTCGTTTTATAATCGCCACACAGGCGAATCTATCCATTCAGTTTAACAACAGGTACGATTGGAGTTGCCCAAACACTAGATTAAACTGGAGAGATAACTTCGTCTTTAACTAATCGTTCAATTTCAACTTCAATCTTGTCAATCATTGCATATGGCACTACTCTTGGTTTAACCAATATGAGATTTACCTTATCTTTCCACTCCAGAGCAAATTTTCCATATTTATATAAACCAAGTTTGTGTGTCAAAACTGAAGGATACATCTCTCGCAGCCTCTCTACAGTAAGCCCCAAATCATTTTCAACCTTATTAATCACTAGGTCTTCCCCATTTATTGACAAAATCTTAAGTTTACGAATCCATTATCGACCCACAATAGGTGCTCTAGTTCCTCTTGTAACAAATAATTCTAAATTCAAACATTCGTTTTTGAATCCCACTCCAACCATCAAAATTCCCAGAGGAATAATTGGGGTACCCGAGTACGATCGAAACTTACGAAAAGTTGGCTTTAACTGAAGATTCGAGAATACCTCGTTCTTCTGAAACTCATTTTCAGATATAGCTGAGATTGGTGAGCCTGTGTCAATTTTAAAATTCATAGTTTTACCCTAGACAGTTAAAACAATTTTCATTGAATCAGATTTCCCGTTTGTAGGAGAATTAATCCGGAGAAAAAGGGTCTGCCTGGCAGAGGAGGGGATATTTCTCGGAGGCGCCCAATGATGTGAATCGGAAGGGGTACCCGCTTCGAAGAAAGCCCAGTACGACTGCTGGCGCTGGTGAGGCGCCGTCTTGTGCGTATGCCTGGTACTCTCCAGCTGTAATCGCGGCTGTAATCGTGGGCCACGCAGCATTTCCTGAACAACTCCTTCGTTGACTGGTTCTTCTGGGAATAGGCAAGTGTCTCGGGCTTTGAAGGACGTCAGAGTACTTCGGGTAGGGCTGAACCCAGAGGTCGAAGATACGGAGCCTATTTCAAGTATCTTCCTCATGGGATAAGAAAGCTAACGAATTTTCTCAGCCATCAGAACTGCTATCTCACAAGAAACAGATAATATATTAGAGACTGACGATCCCGCAAAGACCTGGGGGTATCGAGGGCGGCTGGTAAGGCGGAGAGTACGGAGAGCAACTCCGAGCGTGCGCGAGGCAGCCGACGGGAATGGCCCCTAAAGATTATCCCGAAGCAGAGGGCGATATGGTTTACGGTCTTGTATTGAAACTTGACCGTGATCTGGGCCGGCGAACTCTAGCGAGGTGATAACGAAGTGCTGCGGGAAAACATTTCGCAGCATTGGACAAGGGGAGAGATCGTCTCATAACTAACTCCCCTTCCTCGAACTCCATACTTCTTCGACGGAGTTGGCAAACGACGAAGTTGGCAAACGTGGAAGATGACGGAGTTCTCTCCACGGAACATAGTTATGCTCCGCGGAACATAGTTATGTTCCCCCGTGTTAGGCGCAAAGCGGGAGTCGTTTAAGTGCATGCCTCATTTCCGATGGTCGCTTTTCATAAAGACTTTCAACATCATCTTCAGGACACGACAGACCCTCTCGGCGGTATTTGCCTGCGGACGGTATGGTGGGGTGATTTCGTGTCTTAAACCCGTACATACCGCCAAGGCTTGTATTTCGTGACAGATCCGGTGCTGTTATCGATCAGTGAAACATGAAGTGTATCTCAACGCGAACTGGTAACATTCTCGATTTGTTCCCTAATGGCCTTTCTGGTAGCTCGATGGAGCGGAATAATCTCTACTCACTGAATAGGTTTTGTAACATGTACACGGACCACAGATATGCGTCGACCCATGTGACTCCGCAGCATGGCGTTTTCAACTTTACACTGCTAGCAGGGATCACAGAAGCGAACGAAAGAGACGACCTCTCAGAACATATTGGGCCAATAATTCGATCGATAGGATTATGGACCAGCCCCCTGTTACTCGGTGTTTTCAGTGTCCCTCATATTGAAGCCATTAGAGATGGTGCGGAGAGTCATCCGACCGCCCCCACTCTTTGATTCTTGCGCACCAGACCCAGCGCCGAAATCAAAAATGAAAATAAATCAGGTAATGGTTAGATAATTTTGGAAATAAACATAAACGTTCAATCAATTTTTCAATTGCATGTATTAAATGTAGATTTTCATAATTGATACATTATTGGTAAAATAATCATGTTTTCGAAAATTTTGCAATCTTTTTTCTTTCTTGATAGAGTTTCTTTTGCTCTGCATTGAAGCAATTGCAAAAGTCCTGCATACGTGCTCTTATGAAACGAGTGATAATTTGATAAATAATTTCGGTGCCACGCTCTTCACACGGGAAACAGAAGTTGGGATGATTAAAAATCTCATTAAGCATATCCTCATATAAATGTGCTGACTCACAGTGCATGGCAAAGTTCTCTTGCAGGAAAAGTGAGAAGCGATATAAATTAATATTTGGATCAATTAAAGGACCCCTCATTAGTACATCAGAAAAATGAGCTTCAGGGAGCATAGGATATTCCTCAACAACAATCAGGGTGTAAAAAAGCTTTCTTACAAATCATGTATGTCACAGTATTCATTACACATTTGATTATGTCAGCTGTCATAAAATACGACAAGCAATCTGTAATTTCAGGTTGGCTGTAATCGTGGTCAAAAATTTGTTCGAAATCCCAGTCCTCATGCAAAACAATTTCGTTAAGTTTGTGACGAAATTCCAGGCGAATCCATCACCTGTATTCCTGTAGGGTAACTACCTAGATTAAGGGCGAGAGAGAATGGCGAAAATTAAATAAATACCTGACCAACACGCATCGCGGGACCCGCGTCTATTAGCTACATGCTATTTAAAAACTTCCGGGAAAAATTCCCTGAATAAATCCCCGGGCTTGCCAAATAGCCACCTGAATCTCGCCAAGAAAGCTACCTGCTACCTTAGTAAAACTCGCGAAAAGCTATCTGCTATCTAAATAAAATCCGGGACAAGCTACCTTAAAAATCCCCGATTAACGAGCTACCTGGTATCTAATCTCCTTTCGGGGACAGCTATCTGTTACCTTCTCTAATTTTCCCCAGGCTCGCTGTGCTAAGATAATCATTAAAGTAATAAGTCGAGACAGCAGTTAAATCCCTACAGTTTAGATGAACCCTTATAAAAATGCAGTTATAGTTATCGATTAGAAAATAGTTGAAATTTCCCTCAAAAATCCCCCCTAACAATAATTGAGAATTGTCTGCGCGAAATCGGGTTAAGGATCGGCGATTATCGAGGAAAATTGGCCGATATACTGTGCTTCCGGTAGTCCCTGGAACCCTTTTTGGTTAATTGGATAGGAGAACCCATAGGTTAGGTTGAGACGCCTACGCTCCCTTAGTTGTGAGAGGGTAATCTTCAGTTTAGTACGGGTGGAAGGCCATGTGAGCGAACGTAGCTCTCTCGCTTGCATGGATTGCCAAGAGCTTTACGGTTTCGAGAATCTCGGTTTAGTTACGGTTACAGAAGATTTAGGTTTAGTTATAGTTACAGAGAAATTAGGATTAGTTAGTTTCGTTAGAAGACTCCCAATCCCTCTCCGGGGAGGGTCCCTACCTGATGAGCTACCTGATAATAGGCATAGACGGGGCAAAAATCCGCTCCCGCAAAATCTCGCTCAAAACCCCTTGAAAAAATTTATTGTGGCTAAAAGCCGGTTAGCATAGTTAATAGAACACCCCGAGTGATAGAAAATAACAATAATATGAATACATAGTAGTAAACGGACAAAACCCCAATTTGAAATTCGAATTCGTTACGCGCCGCGAGCTAGGGAAATTCGAGATCAAGGCTAACTCGGTATTTAGCCACGCACGCCGCCACCGGACGGGTGCACTTGAGGAGAGTCGCCCCCACCCCGAGCAACAGGTTCGGACGGAACCACGCGACCGGCCGGCGTTAGTTTCCCCCGGGCCGTTATTCGAGACACGTGCGTGATAATCCGATAGTGCATCATAAAGACGCCACATTCCTGCCCCAGAGTACCTGCACCTCCCAAACCGCATTCCCGAAACTCCACGAGCACCCTGGTAAGTACCCGTGTGCTTAATTAAGTGCAAATGAGTGCGGGAAGTGTGATTTTCGGGTGATTAGATGTCGCGGGCACGAAAATTTGCAAATGGCGTCGCTACCTCGCGATATGACGCCATTCAGGCAAACTCAGGGTTGAGCAAGCCAAAAGGCCTCTCTCAACGGCTAAATATGCTCCCTAAGGCTACCTGATGCTCCCTAGTGTTACCCAATAGCTATCTAATCGTTTAAGCAGATTTTTTTGAATCTAATTGCGCCACGAGAAGGCGAAATATACGGGATGAGGCATTCCACGCGGCTCGGAATACTCCTCTCCTATGCTACCTATGGCTACCTACTGTCTACGCTCTCTAACACTAAATTTTCGATACCTGTTACCTACTTTATTGGGTTTCCCGGGCTCACCCGAAGAGCTCAGGAGAAGACCCCGCTACCTAATAATTTTGGCTACCTTTACCGGTTTTTTTTTTGCAACCTGGACTTAAACTTAATTGCTACCTGTTATTAAAAATTTATCGCTAACCTTCCATCCAATTTATTGCTACCTTTGCATTAAAATTTTTATAGCTACCTTTTGAAAAAAAACTTTTGGCTACCTTCGCGAGGCTGAATCAATTTTTCTGGGGAGAGATTTTGCGCGTTTTTCTCGACTTAAAACTTATTTTTTTGCTCTCGTTAGGAAGCGTTTTGCGGCGTTTATCAGATGCCTTTTAGAACACTGAGAAGTTAGGTATGTAGAGGTTAAGTAAATAATTGCATAACCTAATATTATTCCATTGGCCAAATTATTGGTAAACTACTCGACCTCTGATATTACGAATATCTCCTATCCACCGATAATTTATTACTCAATCTATCGTCAATCGTTTGCAACAGTTTGATAGAAAATTTAAGGCCCGGTTGGAGGGATTTCTGCCCGACATGTCCCTAGAAAATTCCCTAGGAAACGGATCAAAATTGACTGTTTACGGCGTTACTAATTACGACCGTATTATTGGATGAAAAAATCCAATTTTCGTCCTAAAAAATCAATCATTTATTTCGGTGGGTCGGAAATTAGGTCTGGAAGCGGAAAAAGGAATGGAAGTATTTTTTTTAGTGATCGCAAAATCACATTAAATAAACACTATCGTCGCCCCCTGTCCAAATTGCCACACCGTGGCACACTGTCAATATGGCGTGGCTAACTGTCACTCACAAGAATACTTATTATAATTTTTTCACACACTGGACACTTCTCAAACCTCATTTCCGACCTGTGAACACTAATGCACTATTTTTTTTAATTATTCCCGGAACAATTTGACGGCTTCACTCCGCGTAATTAGTAACGCCGCAATTGAGGGGATCAGCTGTCAATTTTAGGGAAACGAAGTTCAGACTGATGGCGATAGTGTGGCCTCTCAATCTCGGAGAGGCGAAAATGGGTTTCACGGCAGAAGTGATCAGGAGCGTACGAAGGAGGGGCACTTTTGGGGGGATAATTTGAAGATATTAATAAATGGGATTGGGAGGGA